TCTACTTGCTGGGGGAAGTAGGAGGCGAGAATAAAAACTGAGCATGCGGCTGGAGGGGGAGGCATCATGGCTGAGAGAAGGCAAGAAAGCCGCCTGGAGAGGGGGTGGGAGAATGTACTGGAGCGGGAAGTTCAGGGCAACTGAGGTCACCCCCAATGAGAGGCCTTCGACAAAGGTGAGTCCTGGACATCGCATACTGTGGGGCTGTATTTCCAGAATCATCTATTCGTCATTCCTACAATTATGCATACTGGGGGGGGCGTGTTCTCAGTTTTGAGTCCCCTCTGTGAGTCTGGGTCCTCTTTATCCTCCTGGGCCTGTGGGATCCAAAGTCACACCTAGGTCAACTGCCAGGGGGAAAAAATGGAACTAAAAGCTGTTCCTTTTGGCTCCAGCAGGGGGTGCAAGGGAGAAAACAAGCCGGAAGACCTGGCCCTGGAAACAAGCAGGTAAGATTGTAAAGGTGAACACTGGAACCTAACACAGACAGAAGCCACCTGTCTTAGCCCTGGTCATAGATTGCATACGGTAGGCAGGGCAGGGCAGGGCAGGGCAGGGCAGGGCAGGGCAGGGCAGGGCAGGCAAGCAGACAGGGCTACACTTCCCAACACATCTGCTTCCCCAATAAGAGCAACTAGCCAGGTAGGGAGCTAACAGTTCTATGAATCTATGGTAGTAGCCATCTGGAGGTCCCACTGTGAGGTAACCAGGGGGATGTCACCACAATGGTTAGGAGCTGGCTATCTACCACAAATGTGTGCAGGTAAGAACCATGTGCCTTATGCCGGAGGTACCAGATGCTCAGCTGGGAACTCAAAGCCCATTGGATGGCACCACATAACAAGACCAGAGTGACACTCTCCCATGACTAAGCACTGTATATGTAGAACAGTTCCCCAAGCTAGACAACTCACGAACCAGCAACTCTGGATGGGAAGGAAAGACTAACAACACCGCCATCAGACAATGTCAGGATACAATCCAGGAGACAATGTCAAGATATCTATAAAAAACTAGTTAAAGGAGACATCTCGCCGTTAAGTTGCGGGCCACTGTTCAGGCCCAGGCGAGCGGGGGCTGATGAAGTTCACAGCAGAGGCTGGGGAATAAAGAGACAGGAAGTGTTTGTGTAGGATCAAAATGCGTGGCTTCAGTCTTCAGCTATTACACAGATGAGTGCAGTGGGATGCTGTACTCAAAGCAGAGAAGGCCCATTGAGGGAGGGCTTCCTGCAGAGTAAGGAGGATGAGCAGGGTGGGGGTGCGGCAGCTGCCTCTTGCAGACAAAGGGCTCCTTGCTTGCAAGCTGGCAAAGTCCTGGAACACCAAAGGATGGACGCTGTCACACAGGTTTCCTATCAACCACCGGGTAGCCAGTCACAGTTTGTGAGTCCTGGCTTTGAATGCCAGGGACTTACTTATTCGTGCTAGAAGACACTGCAGAACTTTCATTTAGGTTAGTGTCATATTTGACCAGCAACTCATTTTGAATCCAAACTCTTGGAAGTTATGCATTGTTCAGTTCACCCACTAAAGGGTCTGGTCATGGTCAGCCCCTTACACTGCTCTGCCCTCAACACACCTGCAAGTCACAAGCAGATTCTGGTGTAAGGGATAGAGAGAACAGCAACACAAACAGAAGAGAAGTACAGATTGTTTGGGTTGTGGTTTTTGTTTGTTTTTGACAACTTAACACAAGCTAGGGTCATCTGAGAAGAAGGAACCTCAATTGATAAAATGGCCCCATCACAGTGACCTATAGGCATATTTGTGGAGCATTTTCTCAGATTAATGATTGATATGGGAAGACCCAGCCCACTGTGGGCAGTGCAGTCCCTACTCAGGTGGTCCTGGGTTGTATAAAAAAGCAGACTGAGTGAGCCATAGGGAGCAAGCCAGTAAGCAGTGATCCTCCATGGCCTCTGCTTCAGTTCTTGCCTCCAGGTCCCTGCTTCCAGGTTCCTGCCTTGATTTCCTCAGATGATGGACTGTAACCTGCAAGACGAAGTAAACCTCTTTCTCCCAAAATTGCTTTTGGTCATTGTTGTTGTTTTTTTTTTTTAATCACAGCAACAGAAGCAAACTAAGACAGACAGACATATATTGCTCCATAAATGACCCTTGAACTCACAGGTCATCCATGGAGACAGGTGCAGACCAGTGGTAGGGATGCTGGGGCAGGCAGACAGAGCACGCTAGACAATGGATACAGGATTTCTTCCTGGGGGTGACAGATATGTTCTAGAATTACTGATGATGGTTATGCAACTCTGGCTCAGCTAAACACTTTTCAAGGGGTGGATCTTAAAGTATGCACATCATATCATGTTTGGGATTTTTTGTTCTTGTTTTTTAGAGAGAGGGGATAGAGTTCACATCTGACTTCTCTGGGCACCAGCCCAAACAGTTCTGAAAGGCCCAAAGCCCCTGAGTTTAGGGGAAGAGAGTGTCAAACAACAGAAGCTTATCCATTTCTGGACTGTGGATGGATGACATGAGTAACGGAACCAGGAGATTCCACCATCCAACTTTGAATCACATGCATGAGCCAGATGCTGCTGGGAGAGACTTTCAGGGTGCCACAGTGAACGAGACAGACACTTAACAAGAGG